TGCTTGGCCTGCTGTGTTCATCCAGCTCTGCACCTTGTTGTCGCGGATTCTCCAGCATCTGCAGTTCCTACTATCTCTGTCATCCTTACCTAGTCTGGCATACATGTGACTCCAAACCCACAGCAATGGGGTTGACCCCTAACTGCCCTCTGGGCAATAAATGTTGCCGAGCCAGTGACGCCCTCGTCCCATGAATGAGTAAAGAATAAAGACCCCAGGTCCCTGGCACTGTGAGGCAGCAGTGCTAACCACTGTGCCACCAAGCCATGCCAGTAATCTCTTAGCAGATTGTGGGGGGGGCAGGAAGGCACTCCTCGTGCCATAAGTGATAAGACTGTTCTAAATCATCTGGGTTCATTTCGGCCCACCATATTTCCAACAATCTTGAGACTAAAGTTCGCAACCTTGTTTGTATTTATCCCCAACAATAGTGACTTTTTTAAAGTATGATTATATTCACATCTGAGATTTCTTGTATCCATCTCTAAAATACTGCCTGATTTCACCCACTTCAACTTTATTTGCCAAAGACTTCAACCATTTCAAATTTACTTTTTGAAAGTTCACTCATGGGATCTGAGTGTTACTGGCTAGGTCTGCATGTATTTCAATGATGATACGTTCATGATTGGCATCCCATAAACTGGATCATCCAAAATTCTGCTGCATTGTGCCTTATCCCATTTAGTTACTGAATTCTTATTTGACCAGAGACAATATCCTCACACTTAATTTTTTCATCCTTATTTCCAAATCCCTCACTGTTCCTGCCCCTTTATCTCTCTTTAATCTCCTCCAGCCCTCCAATGTGTATCTATTTTATTCTGTTTTCTGGAGTATCCCTGGAATGGCCCCATCACTTATTCCTTCAGCTGTCAAGATCCTAAAGCTGCCTGGAATTCTCCACTGTTTTTTAATTTATTTTCTTCAATTGTATACTCTTTGTAAGCCTTTGGCTATCCCTCATAATATTGCTTTCTTTGGTTTGGTTTCTCTTTCTCTTTTAATGGTCCTGTGAAGCGCCTTGGAAATTTTATTTCCTAAGCCAATGAGGAGTTGACTGTGGAAATTAGTAACAACTTTTGTGGATGTGACTAATCTTTTTCAATTTTTTGTCCTGTGTTCTCAGATTTTAATTTTTTAAAAAAAAAAAAAAAAAAAAATTCTGTCCCTTGTTTGGAGGTTTGTGGATTTTGTCTGACTTGCTTAATGATATTTTGATAATTTTGAGTTAACCAAAAGGTGTAAAAGACGTCATTCTCGGATTTAAGCATGCAGGTCAGGCTGATACTCAGTACTAAAGTGCTATCTGCCAGTCACTCAAATTAAATGGATTTTTTTAAAAAATCTCATGGACTTATGACCTGGAATCTGGCACTTAAATATCTTGGCCATATTTAACCCAACATAGTAATTTTTTTCTTTTCAAACAGGTTTATTTATCTTAGCTTCATTGGCATTTCCTTTTTAAATACATCTGTTTCCAGCAATCCAGATTCTTTTCCATCTATTTTTGATTCTAAATAATGGCAATACTGAAAGATTGTTAACAAAACAATTACTCATGCTACTTTTTTTTCTTTTTTTAAAAGACACGCTGGATATACACAATGTAAGTTAGGCTTTGAGCTGGAAAGAATGTGTAGAATTATGCAAACATAAAATGTCCTTTCAATCCAACAAGATTGAGCTGTCTGTCCTGATTCCTTTTGGGTTAGATAGCAAAGCAGTCATGTTGGTAATATTAATTTGAACTGCACAAATGTTTTTCTACCTCACTCTGCACGAAACAAAATAGTTGCTTACTTGCTTAACACTAAAGTAAAGTTACCAACAGGGAGTCAAGATTAGTGGCATCATTTTTGGGCACTTAAAGCAGCACTTGCCAAATGTTTTCCCATTGTCACCCTATTTTAAGGTTTGAACACTCAGGTTTTCTCAGTGAGAACTGCAAGAGTGGAGAGGAAGGTCTGTTCATCAGGCTTACAGCTACAGCTATCATAACTGTCAACATTCAATGGTGCCATTGCTTGTGATCTTATTTGGGGTTGAGACAGACGTACAGCCGGGGTGTGGGTGCAGGCAGAGGCAAGGGGGCAGGTGTGTGTATAGACAGGGGCAGGTTTGCACACAGACCCAGAGGTGGGGGCAGGTGATGGGGCTGAGTGGTATTATTGCTAGACTATTAATCCAGAAACCCAGCTAATAACCCAGTGACCTGGCTTTGAATCCCACCATGGCAGATGGTGGAATTAAGAATCTACTGATCATAATAAAATCATTGTCGATTTGTTGGGAAAAATTCATCTGGTTCACTAATGTCCTTCAGGGAAGGAGGTCTGCCATCCTCAGCCGGTCTGGCCTACATGTGACTCCAGACCTACAGCAGTGTGGTTGATTCTCCATCTCCCTCTGAAATGGCCTAGCAGGCTATTCAGTTGTACCAATCACTACACAGTTTCAAAGAAATGAAATCAGATGGATCACCTAGCATTGACTCTAGGCACCTGAAAAGACAATGACAGAGATGGCCCTATCGACCCTGCAAAGTCCTCCTCACTAACAGCTGGGGCCTAGTGCCAAAATTGGGAGAGCTGTCTCACGGCCTAGTCAAGCAACAGCCTGACATAGTCATACTCACAGAATCGTACCTGACGATGTCCCAGATACCACCACCACCACCACCACCATCCCTGGCTAAGTCCTGTCTCACCAGCAGGACAGATCCAGCAAACGTGGCGGCACAGTGGGTATACTGCTGGGAGGGAGTTGCTCTGGGAGTCCTCAACATTGACTCTGGACCCCATGAAGTCTCAGAGCTTCAGGTTAAACATGGGCAAGGAAACTTTCTGCTGATTACAACATACTATCCCCCCTCAGCTGACAAGTCAGTACTCCTCCGTGTTGAACAACACTTGGAGAAAGCACTGAGGGTGACTGGGTGTAAAATATACTCTAGGTGGGGATTTCAATATCCACCACTGAGAGTGGCTCAGTGGCAGCAGCACTACTGATCCAGTTGGTCGGGTTCTAAAGGACACAGTTG